TTCGAGAGCGATCCCCGACCTGACTGGGTATATGGAGGTGATGGCTGAGGCTGCTATCCCAGCCTTGTCTGTTATGATTTTCTTGATCGTAACTGGCGAGAGCTTGTGCCAGTGGTGATCTTTCCCCAATCGAAGGAACAGGAGTCTATCCTCCTTTTGGGTTGTCTGTGGTTTCGGGTGGCTTGATGGAGCAGGCCTTCGCGGAACTTGCAAATTTGGTGGTGTCGGTAACTTGGCCGCTTTGCGGGCTACTGTCACCCAGGGCGAGCTGGTGTCTTGAAGCTTTGGGGGTAGAGCTTGGCTGTGATCCTCAACAGCTGTATTTTTCCTAGGCGCGACTAGTTTTGGAGTGCTTGCCATGGTGGGGGCTTCTTACTTGGAAAGTTAGATGCCTCTGCCTGATCTACTGCGAAGGCAGAGATAACAGGCGTGATGTTTTCCAGCGGAGTCGCGACAACTGCTGCTGCTTGTTTCTCTCCTTTGCTCTTAGCCCAGGAGTCGATTAGTTTTAGAAATTTCTGGGTTATATCCAGTCTTTCTTTCCGTTGTTGTTCTGCTTTTTGCATTGTATTCACAATGCCAAGCAGGCTTGGGTGAAGTTGCCCTCCTATATTGGAGGGCGTTGTCGATGATGATGCAACAGCTGGGGCCATTGCACCGATTAAAGATTCTTGTAAATAAGGGTAATGGGTAATGCGATGTGGGATGAAAATGTGATGGTGATGCTCGTGGTAGAGTAGCTTGTTTTGCATCAAATTTAAATTGCGTCTGCAGCTAGCTAGCTATGACACAATATCGAGAAAAAATGCTTAAAGCTTGTTGCAGGTGCCTACAATTCTACTAGCAGCAGAGTGCTAGAGCACGAATCGTCCGCCCTCCCCATAGAGATATACCTGAAACAAAGGAGGGTCGAGCACGCCGGACTATCAGATAAACTCCCAGTTCAAGAGACAATCCGATCGACATGTAAGAGGATAAAGCTGCCCACAAACGGGAGAGAAACTCCGCATGCATTTACCAAGAGTAAAGATATCGCCGAATGGACAAGAACTTGCGGAAGGGAAAAGGACAAGGAGAAGGCAGAAAGAAGCTGGAAAGATAGCAGCCTTTCAGGAGTGGAAAGATTCATGGACAAGCTAGACCAGGAAACACCGCCCTGGCCGACCAGCATCAGCCGATCCAGAACATTGGAAAGCAGCAAATATATTTACTGATAAACAAACAGGCAGCGTCAAAATGAACTTCAAAGATACACCCTGAAGAATCCACCGAAGCCTAACCAGGGCCCAAAGCAGTGTCGCCATTCAGCTAAGGAGCGAGCATATCGGACTAAATTCTTACCTGAGCAGAAGAAAAGTACCCGGAGTAGAAAAGCCAAGCTGTCAATATGGATATCCGTCGCAAAACGTCAAGCATATGGTGTTGGCGTGTCCACAGTGGGCAAATGGAAGAGGCGATTTTCTCCGACAAGCCAAAGACAGGTCATTTGAAGCAATGATGAACAACCCAGAAGACATGGCCAGAATTACACAGTGGATACTAAACAAAGGGTGGATAAAACAGTTTCGACTGGCAGGAGAAGTCGAGGTAGCAATGTCGGATAAAGTAAATAGATCTGGAAGGGGATAGGACGGAATCCACACGGGCTGAACAGTGTACACTGCACTTCCTGAAGGTAAACCAAATATATTGATAGGAACATAAAAAGACAGGACCAGGGGGTTTTCACCAAATTGGATTCCTCCTTTGTAAATAATGCAGATAGTCACCTGCATGGACCCATAGGGTGCCTGATCGGGCTAATTGAAATCAAATTCAAAAAATATCAAGAATTAACAAAATAGTATGACCCAATTTACAAGAAGAGCACCCATGCCTCCAGTCTCCTTTGCAATTATCACTGCGAAGTTATGACGACTTTTAATTCAATCCAAGTCAACCCTCGTGCGTGAATACCCACTCAGGGAAACGTCTCAAAACCCCTGAGTTATTCAGAGATGCCTCCATTATCCAGAGTTTTTTCCGCGAGAAATTTGGTCTTAGGCGTCTCCTTCCCAAGTTGAATAGGTACCCAGGCTACTCAAACTATACCGGAAAACATCACCAGGGTGCTGACTACGATACCTTTCATCTATGACTTGTTTTCAGTGTCAGCTGGACGCTCGCGTTCTAAGTACTGACGCACATAGTAATCAACTTCTAAAACTTCCTGTCAAAGTTGCAAATTCACGCCCTTCAAGGCTGTATTCGAGTTTGACTAGCTCGGAAATTCTACCTTGCGATGACTGAGTGGTTGGTTATTGCCAGATCATTGGGAGTTTGGGATCGCTAAAGCCTTGAAATTTTGTTTATGCTAAATTAAGTAAACAGAATATCACATATTGTGAATTCACATTAAGAGAGTTCTATATCCTCATTTAACTATCAACAGAAGTCTTGTCCGAAATTGTACACTTCTTTTGTGAAATATTCCCTCCTAGAAATCCTTGCCAATTTCTATCATTTATGCGAGTGCTACACAGCTTTACATGGTCATCAATTCGTTCAACGATCGGGCCGCCCACCAACTCAATGTTGTTGAGTAGTCGGGGATGTTACTGCATGGAACTGAGATTGTAGTATATCCTGGAATGACGGTGATGTACCATACAGTGTATACAAAATGTGTGTAAGTCCTACCTACCATCGTGAAATGTAGATAGGGGGACGAAACCTAACTTCTGTCAGCCGTGTCCCCTCAAAACTTCCAGTTCTCACTGTAGAGTCTACAGAGCCAATATTGAGTAATACCTTCCTCCTCACTTCCACGAGGATTTCCAATCGCTTTCGCGGTCTGTAGCGTCTTCATCTCTCAGCGCAACCTCCTAACACCATTATCGTGAAGTCAACCACGACCAGATCAGATGGTAGGATCGGAGCCCTACTCATCATCAACCCTTTATCATGGAGCAGAAGCCATCCGATGAGTTTCCGGAGCGTAGCCAGCACCCGATACGGAGATGGCGGATTGAATCAAGTCGACCTCGACTGTTACAAAGAAGGGAGATATAGATGAATATGCGCACCTCATGTGGTCTCAGTGTTTAGGCCTCGCCTGGCTGGGGCTGCAGTTTTTTTGAGACTTTTTCCAGCGCACGCAGTTTCCATTGCTACCATTTTTTATTAAGGTGGAAGGTTCCGTTGAAAAAAATATATCAATGATCTTTCAAGTAACAAAAGAGGATAGGAGCACTGTACAAGGTGTGGCCTGGGTCAGAGAGGAGCCCAATGTGCTAGATAGTCATAGACTCAAGTAGTACAATAAAACACACACACATCCGTTGAAAAAATGGCTGCATTCCACGGGTATGTACTGAGATCAATGATTATTCATCACGGGAAATACATCAGTGATCTTTCAAGTAATAAAAGAGGATAGGAGCCTTGTAAAAGGTTTTTTCTTGATTATAGAAGACTTTAATGTGCTGGGTAGACTCAGACTAAAGTGGTACAAAAAACTCTAGACGTGGGTGGTTAATCACGAGCAAACCATCGAGCGATGAAAACAAATTTCGAGTAGTTTCATTACGTAGCTCCCCGCTCTTCCAAGATTTCGACCTTAAAGCTTACCCTTGTATGTTATTCTAAAAATAGCACGCTTACAGCAAGTAACAAGGGCTCATAACAGATGTTGTGGACAGTCATGTGTATGCGCTGGGGTTTCGTGACTTCGTTTTTCTAATTAGAGGATATTGGTTGACTTGAATCCTATGTGTTTGCCCGCTCATTTTTCGGGTCCCATCGCCGTTATAAAGTCGGCTGATATCTCGGAAAAAAGGTTGGACCTTGTGAATTCTGGTCAAGAGGCCAGAATACAAAAGAGGATATCTTTATTTAGGAGCCGTAGAAAGAATCGAATGGCACATCTTACATTTGATTTACATTTATATATCATTAAAAGTAATTCTAGGGTGAAACACGATAACATTCGACGAAGATGACAAATAGTACCAGCTCGTATCCGTTATACGTTGCATGGAATACTTAGTCATCTATGCCCATAGCACCCGACGTCATCATAGTCGACGTGTGAAGATGAACAACTGATATTCAACTCGCATAGCATAAACTTCCTGAAATCGTATTGTTTATTCTACAAAGTTTGGTCGCTAGAATCGTGCAAAGAAGCTACACTTCCGCACGTATGACCTACGAACCTGTATTTGATACTTAGGCTTACAACTTAACTTCTATTGAGATAACAGAACAAGCTTGACGAAATCATAATTTTAGGAAGCAGATTCTTGAAGAGGTAAAAAAGAAAAAAAAAGTTGTAGATAAAAAGGGAAAATAGTCAGCACGAATCAGATAGTTGGGAATAAGACTGATTATAAAGCGATCGAATCACTACCTACAGTGCTATGGTAACGAAGAATATCTATCTCCTTACTGTTAGATCAGGCTAAGATAGCTGCTTAACACTCTGAGTTTCTAAAATCTAATCTTTCGGCTCACTTGATATCTTACGGTAGACCCAAATCACCTGGAACTCTTTCTAGTATTTGTATACCTACTCAAGAGAACAACTGTGCAAAAGTCATAGAGACAAAAACAATTTTACTAGTTTCATATATACTTCAATCCGAATCAAGGCTCCGCCACACACCCATCATAGCCTGGAGATCTCCAGAGTCACAACAGCCGAGTTTCCCGACACTAAGGATATTCATCTGCCATACTAGTCCAGATTTCCACTTAAGCTAGTTTATCAAGTACGATCAGCGATGCAAAGAGTTTTTTAGCTAGACATCTAGCATAAGAAGTCGGATAAATCTCATGCACACCTTCTCACCCCAACTCCCCAGGCGCTTTATCAAAGTAACAGAAGACAAGCGATTTACCAACTATCTCCAATATCATATCAATTATATTATATCTCTATCCATTTTAAACAAGTCCACAAGAACTCACCTACTTACCCTCAAGGGTTATTAAGCTGCGGGGACTACAGTACAGAGATCATGGGCCTCATATATAATACTTATCTCAACTCGAACAAAATTTATGGTTGTAAGGAATGCAAGACTCATCTCGGCAACCCTGAAGATATCATAAGTCGGGTATGTACTGCGATATATCTTTTTATATTTTCTCTCAGAAATAAGATTATTTGCCTGTTATATTGTTAAAAATCCCAAAAAACTCTAATCAATAGGTTTTATGGCAAGGAACGAAAATGCTAACTGCGTTCTATTTTAATAGAATTTCCGCGGTCAGCATGGCAAAGCCTATCTATTTTCTCAGGTAGTCAATATAAATGCTGGCGAGCCTTCAGAACGCAATATGACCACAGGGCGTCATGTTGTACGCGACATCAACTGTCGTCAGTGTGGCGGTTGCGTTGGCTGGAAATACGACAAAGCCTATGAAAGTAGTGAGAAGTATAAAGAGGGTAGATTCATTCTAGAGGCCGAGTTATTATGTAATATAACTTAAGTGGCGAGAGCGTTCCAAATACTTTTTTTCTAGCCGTTATCAATTAAATTAGTCGAGATTCAATAGTACCAGGCAATTCATACTTACATTTTTACAGAATATCTTCCAATAGTGCACGAGATTAAGGACTATTGATCGCGTTGCCAGAACTTGGACTGTATCAATAGCCTCCGGCAGAATTAGGAATTATTCAGCTTGTTTGCAGCACGCAGAGGGCAATCTTACTTTAGTTATTATATTTCGAATTTTTGAGTTCGATTCATTGGGCCTAATTTGGAGCCACATGGATCCATACAGGTGTCTTCAAAGCCCTCTAATTTACATGAAAGAATAACGTAGAGCAAAAACTCCTATAGCTGTCTAATTTGATTCTACACTTTTGTAGATTTACCTTTAGGGATTACGAATATACTGTTACTGTCTGTGTAAACCCCATCCCTATCCAGTTTTGCTTGATTACAGCCTCGGTTTCTCTAGTCAGCAATAACTGTTCCAGTAATCCTTCTGTTTGAATCTAACGTACTATCCTAACAATATTTATAGATATTAATTATCATGGTTTCGAAAGATCAGGTTATCTACCTTTATGGAATCTCACCACTTATCTCGGCGCATTTTGGTCAAGACACCGCCTTACACTTTGGGATTTGAGGAGGATATCCGCATTATAATCATGGATTTACTAATCCCTGAATACCCCATCGGTACTAGTGAGCGTCAAGCTCGATGTGCTCGCTTCTTATTTGCGATGGATGCTGCTCTTGGCCCTACTTAGGATTTGGATGGATTTGGACAGGTGTTTCTCTATAATTCACAACAAGTCTAACTATTTACTTTTTCTTTTACAGGTTTGCTACTCTCAAAGGTATAGATGGTTGTGAGTCACAAGTTGGTTGTTGAGTATGTTGTATTGTGTTGGTTTGCATTACAATTATACATATACGTGGGTTTAGTATCAATTCCACCGTTGCGCTTCTACCACGTGACATTGGAATAAGGTGCAAGGCTAACACTTTAACAGCTACTTTCCTTACATGGATTTGGTTTGATTTGCTCATTAACGTGTTAGGTAGAGTGACTACCGCTGCACTCCTGCTGGAGCTTAATCACGGGTGGGGCAGGGCTGTATCAGGTTGACTACCATGAAGTACATCTACCTCGTCCCACCTAAATGACCGGACCACCTCAGACTTCACCCATGTGTTGAATCATGTCAAGCCCAACCGTCCAGAGAACCCCCTTTTGGCGCGCAGAAGCGCAAATTCTTCCTCAGCCTCGGCCACCACGCACCCGAGTCCTTGACGCCTTCGCCATCTGTAGCTTTTCACTTCTACTCATTCCCAGCTTCGGCTCATCTCAGCATCTCCTCGTCTCATCCAGGGGTAGTTTTATTCATTGGAGGCCTCATCCAGTCGCCAACCTAGGCCTTCTCTATCTGTATTCCTTTATTTCCCAACCCTCATACAGCATCCCATTGTCCTTAAGTCAGCCTTGTCATCCCAGAAACTTTGTAGAATGTCCATTCCTCCGGCCTTGCCCCGTCGCTGTCGTACCCCTAACCGTGGAGGTCGAAAATGTGACTGAGAGCTCAAGACCGAGGCACTGATGCCCCAGCCTTTGTCGAACGCTCTAGTTGGTGAGCCGGGATAATGTCTCACGTATTTCGTCGCTGGCGATTCGTGGCAGGTCAAGTTTTTGGTGCCCTTGGCCGAGGTGAGGACGCATTCAAGGCCGGTATTTCGACCGTACCTTCACAGCGACTAGCAGTTGCGGGAGTCGGACATCCTCTTGCTTCTTTGTTGGCGATTTGACTTTTGGATGTATGAGATCGCTTCGGTAAGTAATGAGATGAGTTTGGCTGAGGGTGATTTTGCAGAGAAAAAAAATAGATCATGAAGGTGTTGGGAGTTGTTATTCAGAAATCAGACGGGTTATAGCCTGTCTGCGGTTCGTATCTAGGGTGTAGATGGTTGATTTCGTTGAGTTGTGCAGTCGTGAAATCTCTGCAAGTCGGATTTTCGGCCAAAGATGAGCCAACACCACTCCTCCCGATCGCCTTTTGGACGAAAACTCTCAAATTCACTCTTTATCGTGACTGAATCTCGGCTCTGGGAGTATATTTCACTCCCAGGTTCATAGAGGGCACCACTGACAGGTGTTCAGCCTTCTTCCTCCATTTACTTACATGGGGGCTATTATCTTATTAATTATTATCCTTTCTCTGTCCATTATTATATGAGTTACGCAAGTTCTTTCCAACTTTAACTCAAAGATTCCTCTAATTCGAATATTAAATCCTCTCCTGTACCTCATTTACAGCTCTCATTGATCTGTCAGCTCCTCACAGATATTCATTCGATCATCCGCGTGGAGGTCCCTTTTATCTTTCATTATCTCCTCTCTCAAACCATCGTAATCCAGTCCTGATGTCGGTATCAGGGGAGCTTCGGACAAAGAATGAAGATTTGCGAGGAGCGGACAAATCAATGAGAGCTGTATATGAGGCACAGGAGAGGATTTAATATTCAAATTAGAGGATTCTTTGGGTTAAAGTCGGAAAGAACTTACGAACCTGATTTGGTCTTTGGTTATTGAACAGAATATTAGTTCAAATCCCTGCTAAGCACTTGATTATTAGTGAATATCGAATGCTTTCTAGCGAGAATCTTTATTGATCTCTTACAAATTAGATCTGTTCAATGTACACTAGTGAATATTGAGTGTTCGACCCTCTTAGACTACTACTTCGAATAAGCTCTACAATCAGCCCGGTAGGAAACCAAGTGAATAACTTCTTGTCACAACATTTGCCATGTAGTCTTGAAGAGCAACAGTACAAAAGTTTCTCATTTAGGTTGCTGCTGTTAACTGGAAGTAGAAGTCTGACAGACAAGCAATCTTGTAGCTGCCGTCAAGGATTGGACATGTAATTCATCATAGACTAAGTTCTCATCAAGTCATGTCGGGAATTTGCTAACAACAAAGATCTGCAGGATAAGCTGGATGATTTCATAATCACCAAGGTAGCTGCAGATAAAGTAGCATTAATCGAGACAGGGCTGGAACGTCAAATTATTCTGCCATTTTCTTGTTAGATCTGCTCCATGTGCACTGGCGTGACCTAAGGTAGATGTGTGGTACAATTCTCTCGCAGTCTCCCGTCGAACAGAAATGGTACAGAAGTTGATTTTACAAATAACCTAATTTGTTTCTTCGTGCCTAATAACTAACACTCGCGCGCTTGAGGAGATCACTGCTAAAGACTTGAAGTAAGCTATGATCCGCTCAGCTACAAAGCTGAAAGCATTGACTATCTTGCTCTATTTTAATTTCGAAAACTCTATCCAAAATGTTCAGCCTTCTCGCCACATTTCACATCCAGAAAAACCAATGTGTACGTTGCAACCCTACATACAAATCACTCCCCGATCCATCTAGTCTTTGACCAAATCCTTCACAAACTTGCCCGGGTTGCTTTTGCCAAAATACATAATATAATATACACTACTCAATCAACAAATTAATACCAAATCTTCCAACTACATCCAAACTTTCTGAATTCAAAATGATATGGAATTAGTCTAATCGTTAGCTGTATGACTAGATTTGTTCCGAAATCAACCATCCATCCCACAACTTGAACCGTGAGCCTACGAAATGGCCGTGGGTACAACAAACTCAAATAGTGCAATTTATTCCGAAATTCAAGACGCCCCGAAAGAAACAAAAGTTAAATCTATATCTGAGGCCGTATTAGCTCGTCACGCTGAGTACACACAGCTGCGAAGACTGAAGATCAAAATAGGTACATGGAATATAGCATCATCTCTCGGCGCTGAAGACGAACTTGCAGTCTGGTTTGGGCCAAATGTCGGCTCACCAACTGAACATCAATGGCCAAGCGACGACGATTTTAGTAATAACAATATCAGTGTAGGTCCTGAAACTCGAAGTGTAGACACCAAGGATAGAGTTAAACCCTATGATTATACCCACGGTGAATATAGAGAGGAAATTGGGCTGTATGTCCTAGGATTACAGGAATCAATCGGATTGAGTAATGCTAGAGAATATCTCGGGAGGGTCTATAACGAATCAGGGTGTATGGCCAGGTGGAGAAAAGCTTTGGAAAATATAATTCCCGAAGGTTACGTACAAATCATGGGACATCAGCTGTCTGGACTTTTATTATTTATATATGCGTCGCCCCTTATAGCGCCCAAGATCAGTTCGGTGAACACCGTTAGTATAGCCACTGGTATGATGGGTTATCTTGGGAATAAAGGAGCTGTTTTAACGAGAATGGTGATCGGAGAGACAACTCAAATAGTGTTCATCAATTCTCATCTAACATCGGGAGCCGAACCTATACATCTCGAAAAGAGGTGCAACGATGTCGCTCAAATATTACAAAAGACCAACTTTCAGTCAGCCAGGCCCGGCGATATTTCCGAGAACGCCCCAATACAGATTGGTGATGAGGATTTTGCATTCTGGTTCGGTGACTTGAACTTCAGGATAGATGATCTACCGGGTGATGAGATTAGGCGCCTCTTGATGCTTCATGCGACTGGTGAATATAATTCTGAACAGTTTTGCGACGAGGACATGATACAGAATTTCGATGAGGATGACGAAGCAACTTTCGTTATTGAAGATGAAGAGGAAGAGCACATCTACGAAGTAGACGCTCACGCTTTATCTAAAAAAGATAATTTAATGTTACACCACCACATTCTACCGAAAAAACTGGCGAAAGACTTGGGACATGATCCTGCATCATTACAAGCTACTCTTGATTCTCTTCTACCTCATGATCAATTACGGTATGTTCAAAGAAATAGAAAAGCTTTCCATGATGGCTGGTGTGAAGGGCGTATATCGTTTTTACCAACGTACAAATACAATCTTGGAGAAGAATTAATTTTTGACACCAGCGAGAAGAAGAGAGCTCCAAGTTGGTGCGACAGGATACTATACAGAACGCGCAAGGATAAACTAAAATACGAAGAAACACTCAGAAAAGAATTAGCTCAAGAAAATTATAAAGACTTCAAGGATTGTCAAAAAGACGACACTGATATGAAAGTGCTCTTCAACTACAATCCGGAAGAAGATGGTGAAGATAACCCTTGGTCAACAGAAGTTAATGAGGACAAAAATGCTCAAAATATTAGGCAAATCCAGGATGAAGATAAAGAAGAGGTTATATTGGATACATATACATCACACCAAAAAGTTATTTCCTCTGACCATAAGCCAATAAATGCTACATTCACACTTTATTACGATGAAGCTATTCCAGACCTCAAGGCGAAAGCACACCAGGATGTCGTCCGAGATTTTGACCGAGCTGAAAACGAGGGACGACCTGGAGTAACGGTAATCATAGATGGTTCCATGAAAGATAATTTCTCAGATTACTCCTTAGGAAACAGCGGAATTATAGACTTCGGAAGAGTCGCTTTTCAGGAGAAGAAGAATCGCCACTTGACTATTGCAAATACTAGCCAAGTAGCTACCACCATTTCATTTGTGGAAAGAACTATTGCTGTAGAGTCAGAATCACGGCACATACCATCCTGGCTGTCAGTATCTTTCATAAATCATGGGTCTCAAGATGATGATAAAGTTTCAAAAATAGGACAGGATAGTATAATACTAGAACCAGGAGAAGCTGTAAGCGCCTTATTAGAACTATCAATTAAAGATATTGAGCTCGTCAAAAAGCTGAACGAGACTGGACGACAACTCGATGAAGTTCTTGTCCTTTATGTCACGGGTGGTCGCGATCACTTTATTCCTTTGCGTGGCGAATGGCTTCAATCTTGTTTTGGTCGCTCTATTGACCAACTCGCTCGTATACCTAAAGGTGGAGTACGAGCTGTACTGAAAGAAAAGTCTGATTTTCCGCAAACTAGAAATCACGAGACTTGCTGCTCCATACCTCGCGAACTTCTTGAGCTTATAGAGACAGTGCTTTTTCTCACTGAACGCGTCGTTGCAGAGTCAAGCATTCTTGAAAATTTCTCATTACGTCAAGACACTCCTGGATGGCCTTTTGAACCGAGGAACTGGATCATTACCAATATCTCGACTCGAGAAACCTACAAAAGACTTATTTTTGAGGCTCTAGATAAACATCAAAAACTCAGCGAGATTCTTCCCGGAGAAACTTTTGCATTTGAAAAGCTAGAAATAATATCAGAAGTTCTCCTACTTTTCCTTTGCAACATCCCAGATAGAGTTATCCCAGACAAAATTTTGTCAGCCCTTGAGACATCGCTTATCCAGAGTGATTGTTCATTTGAAGATATAAAAGCACGGGTTCTAGACGAACTTAGTGGTATTCCTAATCACAGTGTCTCTTTTGTTTTCCTTACTAGCATGCTCGCGCAAGTAGTGTCTGAACTGGCCTCAATAGGCACAAGCAATGAAAACCTGCCAAATAAGAGTAATGTCAACAAATTCTCAAGTAGAAGGACGATATGGAAAATACGGAGACCTCCTACTGAACCTCTGGATCCTGCAAGTGTGAAACGAGATCTCGTTGAGAAGGCAATTGTCGAAGTCTTTCTACCGGCAATCTTTCAGGATAACGAAAATTTGAGAGAGCGGGATAGAAAAACTATGTACGAGAAGAAGAGAACTATATTGAGAGCATTTTTAAAACCTCCCAATGTAGGGAATTGATGAAATGGTGTAACTGCAAGCTCACAGGGATTGGAAGTCTTTTACTTCCAGCTTAAGGAACATACGCCCTCAAATTATCATCAAGATTCCAGACTAGCCGAGCGCAGGCTCAAATGCTACTGGGCGAGTGAAACCAGATACTTTATGACATGGTCAAGTTAATTAAGCTGTTTTAGCTATCTCGGCATTTACATCCAAAGAAAAGAAAAAGTGGGGCTGGCTAGACTGCCTTTACTTGGAAAGCCATTAGAACAGAAATTTAAAGGTCAATCTCCCAAGAAGTGCTATGTATTGCCTACCCCTCGCCTACTCACCTTAACAAAGGGCTACATTTCCAGCTGGCTTTATTATAAATGTCATTGCTCGCACTAAAATTATATAGAACACATAGGACCCAGCTGACTTTATATCTCGTCGCCCGTTGTTCATGGGTCTCGTGATTGCCTTCAGGCAGGCTCAATAGCGCTGATCTCTTCTAGGACTTCTTCATGACTAATGAATACCAATAAGAAATGCGTCTCGGAACTACTTCACGATGAAAATTTGTAAATACTGTTTCACTCATGTACTATATTTATCAACCGCAAGTTTCGGTACGAGGCCCTATGAATATTTACTACTAGGGATCTCAAAGATACTATCATTCACACGAAAATACGACGAGCATCTACCATCCACGTACCGTATCCGAAATTCGCGTTATTATTTTGATATTTAATAGTACTTTCCCAGACTAGGATTATATAGTATATTTATCTCTGGACAAGAGATGGTCTTTGTTGGCCAAGTTATAAGTGCCAAACACAAATAATGAGCTTTTTTTTAATGATCTTTAATACTTAAAAATTGTATTTGGCGATTCAAACGGCTCTGCCGCTCCTTCCTTTGCTACCATCTGCTCTTATCTAATGCCTCAATCACCTAGATAATTCCTTTATTTCTACAGAAATCAGGTTATGCCAGCCCACTTCATCTTATGAAATCATATTTTAATACTCATGAGGTTATACATCACACAGAAACTTAGCAGTAGAGGGAATAGATTTCCGGCAAAGATGATCTCTTCAGCTCTAAGCGGTGCAAATATAAACGCTCAGTTTGCTTTGTATATCTACATTGACCAAGAAGATTTGTATCCGACGTCCTCATTACGATAATTACCCGAAATAGTCACGCGGTCTGTGTCGTCTTTGGCTCTCAGCAAGTTCTCCGGGCGCCATCCTCATGAAACTGAGCACTATCTAATCAGATGGTAAGGTGAAAGCTGAAAATATCATCCACTCACTTTTCTTGACCATGGAGAGGAAATCATCGGATTAATTCTTGAGCACGCCCATTTCTCAACATACCGGTGGCGGATTGGATCAACTTGGCCTCTCATGTTATAAAAAAGGGATTATAGATGAATATGCGCAATTCTTATGGCTTCGGTGTCTAGGTTTTGCCTAGCTGAAGCGACAGGTTTTTTGATACTTTTTCTCGCGTGCATAGTTTCCATTGCTACCTTTTTTTGGGTAGAAGCTACCGTGAAAAGGAGGCTTAATTCAACGATTATATACTGAGCTAGATAGCTATCTATTATGGGTAGCACATCAGAAATCCTTTATGTAACAAGAGAGGCAAGGAGTACCGTACAAGGTGTGGCCTGGGTCAGAGAGGAGTCCTATGTGCTAGATAGTCACAGACCCAAGTACAGTCTTTTATGGGCTGAAATTGTAAAATTTTCAAAATAACTGGGGGTAGATCCCTGTACATTTTTATTTGATTGGTTTGGTCTTCATACAGGCCCATGTCTAGTTCGTATACTAGTTGTGCAAACAAGAGTACTATCCAATAATATTCTGTGAAAGTCTCAATTATGGAGACAGTTTTCAAGTCTAAAGGGATTGTAAATCGGTTTTCATTTAAAATAAAAATTTAAAAAAATCAATTAAGATTATCTAAAAATACACATCTATTTCAAAAATAATTGCTCTGTATTACAAAAGTCTACATCGAAGCCCTCAGCATGGCTCGCAACTGAAATGAAAGCGTACTAGATGTTTTGTATTAGCCTGCTTCAGCCCAATACTTTGTGTACCCTCCATTTACCTTTATCACCGCTACACATCTTTCATACACGCTACCGACTAGTGACAATAGCTCCTCAGAAGGTATAGAGTCCCATGCATCCTGTAGCAACGTCTTCAACGTGGCAGAGCGCACAAGCCCGACCCCATTTTTCTCATGAATATTTACCTGAATGTGGTTTTTTAAGATATTCCACAATGACTCGATCGGGTTCAGGTCCGGAGAGTAAGGTGGCTATCTAGTAGGCGTTATTACAACCTCACGCAGCACCTCAATCGTTGAGTATGCTTTACGACATGGTGAATTGTCGTGCATGTATAGAATTTCTGGATTCTCCCATAAAATTGATTCAAAAGAAGCAAAATCCTTTCACAAAAGGATGAGGCCCTCATTGATTCCCAACCCTTCTCCCAGACTGGGAATGGGCCTTTTTGTGATCCATAAAATGATCCCCAAAACATCCAGCTATTCCCATAAGCATGGCGAACCACATTTCAAGTCTCTTTAAACTCATCATTAGGCTAAACTCTGCTGTTAGTACAAGGAAGATTTTGATAGAATTTTTACGTACTTTTCTTGTGACACGAGTTTTCATAGGAGGATCATGTGGTATCCAGGTTTCATCAGTCCATAGTATTCGATTCCATTGTTCATCGCTCCAATTTAAATATAATTGGGCTAACTCCAATCTTTTCTGCTTGTTCACCGCGCTTAACGGAGACTTCTTCCGAGCAATGCATCTGCTGTAACCTCTTTTTTTCAGTGCGTTAGAAATTAAACGTTCACTGCATCCCCAGTGGCTGAAGGTTCCCGTCGCTAGTTCTAAATAGCAAATCTGAAAATTTTCAGGAGATTCCCGGACGAAAGCCTTAAGCTCATCAACTTGTTCCGCGCTTAATTTTGGTGAGCGTCCTTTGCGAGGTGTAGGATTCTCAGTCTCTCAAGCACACGCAAGTTGTACTTGCCTTGTTAAAAAGCCAAGTTCGTTGGTTATATTTTGTACCGTCAAGCCATTTCTTAATGTTCTTATTTGAATACATTGATCGCGAGTTGGATGCTTGCGAACTTTGGTTTCAGAAGCAGACTTTTCGAGAGACATCGTTTGCTAGAATAGAGGATGAATTGATGGTGATGTTAAGAATTAAGGGCTGGGGGGTTGTTTATGCATCAGAATTTAATTGCGTATACAGCTATCCAGACATTGTCGACTTTAAGGTTGTTGCTGACTTTTTATATGTACGTCTGTTATCACAGACATTGGAAATAATTCATAAGATTGCTTAATGAGAGGCTAGTATTGATTCCGATATAATATTGTAGAAGACTTGTCACAACTATCAGAGGGGTACACCGTCTTTTTTTTTTGTTCATTAACGTGCTCGGTTAAGTGACTACCGTTGCACTCCTACTAGAGCTTAAGCACGGGTGAGGCCGGGCAGGATCAGGTTAACTACCGCGAAGTGTAGATATACCTCGTCCCACTTACATGACCGGACCACCTCAGACTTCACTTATGTGTTGAATCATACCAAGTCTGAACGTCCAGAAACCCGCTGTCGACACGCCATGGCGCAAATTCCTCTTCAGCCTCGGCCACCACGCGCCCGAGCCTTTGACATCCTCATTGACTCCAAAACATACTTGTAATCCTAGATCTCATCGTTGCTCTAGCCTTTCACCTTCATATCGTACCGTCGGGTTGTTGTCGTCATCGGGGATTTTTGTAATCCCCTCGGTGAATCTTCCCTTTTCTTCCTCTTTTGCACTCGTCCCGTTTCCATCATGACTTTCCTCATTAGCGCGTGTGTAGGTAGGTGATGTGACGAGTATGGAGGTGGGTCGCAGGTGTAGGATCGACTGAGAAATGCTTCGTCGCAAATATAAAAGGAGTTTGAGAGATGTCGGATGTTTGAATACGACCCCCAGATAGACCTAAGTCCATTCGTGAATCGCATGTTGGTGGTGATGAGTCTTTGTTCAACTTTGTTCCGGTTGTGAAATCTCTGCCGACTGCTTTTTCGACCAAAATATCGAGTGCAACTCCTTCAAGTCAAAAATCCATCAAAAAAAGCTCATCCCACCCTTTTTCGTGACTGAATCTCGGCTCTGGGAGAATTTTCCGCTCCCAGGTTCGTAGAGGGCACCACTGACGGGTGTTCAGCCTTCGTCCTCCGAAAAGACGATTGGACCATATGTCATGGCTTGCGGAGTGATGAGGAGAGACAGTCTAACCTATTACGAGCTAGTCTTACTGCGCCTTTTTTTTTTTTTTTTTTAATTCATAGTGTATTCAGCTATCTAGCTATGACACATCTGATTATTTTACATATAAATACAAATATTAAGTCCCAATTTCCTTTACTTATCTTCTAGTCTCCTCCCTTTCAGTCAGCTTTGGATGCATTCATGCATCCACTGCTTTGAAGGAAATGGGGAGTTGCTTCTTTTCCAATTTTTGTAACTTACTGCGCCTGCAGGGGAAATCCCATAAACAGCCTTGTTTAAAATTATACCCTTTCTATGCCAGAGGGACTGTATGCTACTCTATTGATTAATTGAATATAGGGATATATGGATCATCCAAAAATCAATCACAGAGCCGGCAAAGACGAATTCTTTACCTTCCAGTAGTGCCGGTGTAATCGCTCAGTATGCTTTGCATATCTGGGATAGCCAAGAAGAATCGCATCCGAATCGAAGTCGAAAGCAACCTCAAACACATCTCCATTTGACGACTTCTCGACAATGCCTCTCTCATCATTATCATCTGAGTCCTCAACCCATCTCTAAACATGCATTATCTCGCCTCAACGACCAATAAAGAAGTTGCTCCAATTGCAAACAGGAGCTTGCCTCAACCGTTACCGGCCACCACTCAGTACAAATTTACGACGCTACATATACCCTCAAGGAGGAAATTAAGTCATAAT